AGTCCAAAGAGTTGCCTGGTGTTGCCTATCCTCGAAGCTTTCTCCATCTCTTTGGCTTTTGTCGCCCACCACTGTTCACGGTCCTTGCGGAGACTTTTCGTAAGTTTCCTCTTGTGCAGCTTTCGCTCCTCATTGAATTCGGAGCTCGCCGGAATAAGTCTTCTAGCATCTATCAGTTCGGATGAGGCGGTGGAGATCCAGTGGTTTTTACTCACCTTTGGGTTTACCTTATTCACAGCTTTTACAGCTGTATCTATGGCTGCCTGGATATTTTTCCAAGCTTCTTCAGGGTGAGCACAGCTGTCGAACACAGATATGTGTTTAGCTAGTTCTTCCTCAAATACGGATTTAGTTTCCTGATCGAGCTGGGGACGTGATGGTTTTACCGCCAGCTGTTTCCTACGTCCGTTCAGTCGTAAGCACACCCGAGCGCGGACCAGTGCATGGTCGGTATCTACGCACGTGTTCCAGAAGGAGCGACAATCTCCTACCGACCCACGCCAACGATAGCTTATTGCTATGTGGTCTATTTGTGTCCAGCGTTGGTTTGATGAAGGGGGTCTCCAAGTCAAACAGTGTCTCTCCTTGTGTTTGAAGTTAGTGCTTACAAGAAACAAATGATTATCAGAGCAGAACTGTAGGAGACGGTCACCGTTGTCGGTTCGCTGGCACGGAACTCCATAGGTGCCACCGACATCCTTCTCAGATTGACACAATTTCCCTACTTGAGCGTTAAAGTCACCAGCTAGAACGACTATGTCTGAGCGTTTAGCCTTTCTCACCAAACTAGACAGCTTTTGGTAGAACTCATCCTTCGTTTCATCTGAACTGCAGTCAGTGGGGGCGTAGGCGGAGATTACGAAAAGGCATCGGCGAGTAGTGCAGTCCTTCCTCCTTCTTACTGATCCGTTCAGGCGGACAGCACACATTCGGCTATCTACCGGGATCCAGTCAAGCAATGTCTTTTCTGCCCTAGTACTCAAAGCTATCCCTACGCCAGCTAATCCTCGTGAACTAGCTGTGGCATCTCCTGACACCCTCAAGGTGAATTTTGCAGATTCAACCTGTTGGCCAGGTGGGGTTAGGTGAATAACCACACTTGGGTCTTGTATGCGTGTTTCTGAAACACAGCATACATCAATGGCTCGTGATGCCAGGGTCTTGGCTAGTGATGCTTGTTGTCCTATTTGGCAAAGTGTCCTAACATTAAGAGCTCCTATATGAAATTGGTGGCGCGGCTTTAAGAGGCTGTCGGTGGTGGTTTTTTGGCTTCCATCGTTTTTAGTGGACGCAGAGTGGAGAGGAAGTGGAGAGCTATCAAGTCGAGGAGTTGCATCAGTGGAAGGAAGGCAAGATGATAGAGATGAAGATGAAGACAAAGATGAGTGAGTAATAGAGAGGTTTCGTGTGCATTTCGGATTGTGAGGGCGATTGTTACTTCCCGGCTGCCCACACCGTGGAAGTTGGTTGCGTGACCGCAGAGCCCAGGGGACAACTGCTTGAGGCCGGTCACACGCGGCCTGCTTTTGTTTGTTCTTTGTTGTTTTGTGTGTCTCAGTAGCAGATTTATCACACAAGATTTATCAACCAAGGGACGTGTGTACTGCTCAGCAGTTCGCTCCGTCCTTCTCCATAGCTCTGAAACATGGCCAATACGAGTTGAAGACATGAAAAGGTTGACTGCTTTCGATCATAGATGTCTGCGATCTCTGTCTCACGTTAGGTGGTTTAATAAGGTAAGTAATGTTGACGTTAGGCGTAGAGTGTTGGGCAAAGAGGGAAAATCAATCGACGAGGCTATAAAGTTACATAGATTGAGATGACTAGGTCGGTCACGTGCTGCGCATGCCTAACCATCGCCTCCCCCGACGATGGGCATTACTAGCTGATATAGGTGCAGGTTGGAAAAGAGTAAGTGGTGGCCAAACAAAAACATGGCCTCATCAATCCATGAAATCCTTGACAGTTAAACTGAGTCAGGCAGGGAGATGCAGACTTCCGAGTTGGGGCCCTCGGGACTCTAGGAATCAATGGCTGGAGACAATAAATGGTGACATGGCTCAAACTCATCGTTGTCAATGGCCAGCGCAGATGTATTCAGTCTCTGTAATCTTTCATATTTCTTTCTACCATTACTCATTCTGTTTCACTCTTATACTTGTCAGACTGTATTCATTCTCTTCACTCATCTTCTTGTCTACCTTTGTGTGGTATTTGGAACGTGGCAACTCGAAGTGCTGCACTCCGGTGCCAAGTTCTATGTTGAATCCAGACAGACAGACAGATAGATGTGTGGTATGATGGTCGTCTTCCCTACTTTTACTGCTATTCGGAGTTATACGTCATTGCGTAAGGAAGTTACAGTTTTGTTTACGTGTTTACTTGACGCTATATGAATAACTGGTAAAGTCAAGCCAGTTAGATTATGCACCTTTATTGACTGAGTTGAGTAAGAGGCGTTGTCTGTCAGGTGGAAGCATTTTACTACTAATAACACACTGGAATGAGGTCGGGAAAAAGTTGCCTGGTTCTAAACATTCCACAAGTCTTAATATTAGTTAAACCCATGTACGTAGTTGGGAACCACCATTGAAGAGCGAATGAATGAAGCCTAAAGTGACTCGTGACTATTTGCGTATATTAGCGATATGAGTCTGTGTTGGTTTGCTATTCCTTCACGTTACAATATACTCGTTTGTAAGTTTAAGTGGGCACCATTACCGTGTATAGTAGGAGTTCGGGTCGAAAGTGTTGTAGTTTTCCAACAAAAGTACCACAATATTAATCATTTAAATAATGAATATAATCAATAGACATTCGCATTACTTAATTTCTAACTCAATCAATTCGACTGACTGCACACAAGTTCAGGGCTAATTGTTGAATTACCACTCCAGCCGATTCGATTTATGGTTTACATAACAGATTTCAATGAGCCATTGATGAAGCGGTCCTTATTCTTTGATTTACGCCATTATCACCTGAAGCTCTTATTTTCAACACACCTGATACACTGTGGGCATCAAGGAATGCGCAACACAGAATAATAAAGCGAAGCAAAATACTTAATGACAAAAGGTTAACAAAAAGTACACTTATTGAAAGCATTCAAAGGAGGATTCATTACTTCATCTTACTTTCAGAAAAAGTAGAGAAGTGCAACATGTTCGTTGCTGATTTCATTTCTGATGAAATCTTGAGTTACTGAGCCATATTATCAGTCAGACGCTACTTAGGTAGTCGTGATGCGAGAATAAACGTTAGCCCAATGCTACTGTTTTTTATCTTATGACACCACAACATACGTTAACAATTTCTGCTTTCTTCATTCGGTCCCGGGGCTAGCTAACAGTGATTCATATAGATGACTCTGGGACGATTTTCGTAATATGTAACCAAGTTGCTGAGGTTGGTATTTCAAGGTGACATTGAAAGACCGTCTATGTCCTGTCCAAACTGTCTTTGTAGATAAAGATTACTCACGGTGACGTCGGGTACCAGCGATCCTACGGAGTTGGCGTCACCAGATGTTCGCTTGCTACATATCAGCAGCTTAGAGAGGTCAGATTTCATAGTTGTTATGAACCTGACATTTGAAGGCTAAACTAATGTCGTGGTTGCGCTTGGTCGGTGCAAAGCACGTATTTGTTGAAACGCCTAAATGTTAACCGAATAAGTGTAATTTGTGTTGTCGCGTATTGTTCTCACACTGAAGGTAGAATTCTTTGTTCAGGTAAATTACATACCATTACCACGCACATCCTGTTTTCACATAGTCATCGGTGGCACAGTTTAATAGAAATTGCGAGATCAACTACCTTGTCTAACCCCACTGCTGGTTGAGAAAATCGGTGATAGTTGATTGTATACCAGCATTCTTTATGTTTTTATATAATTTTTTAAATGTGCTTACACTTAAAGTTTAGGGACATTCCTGTCGAAGAAACTATACTAAATAGTAATCCAGTCCAATGAATCGAAAGCAACTCTAGCATCAGGAAATACAACAATTGCTGACCTGCATTGCACATGATAACTGACAGAGGGTGGACACGTAATAGATGCATCCGAAACCTAAACGATATCCAACTTGTTCTTTGGGAATCACTTTTTAACTGGTTCTGCGGAGCTCTTGAAGTTTGACAGCACTCGGTATTTGGGTGCAACTGAAGCGGAATAGTGCCCAAACATGTACTACCATATGCATTACGTAGTTAGTTCTCAAAGATATCTACTATGATGGCCTTACTCTATACCTACTGGACAACGTACCTCCCATACATTCCTAAACGATTTAGTCCGTTTTTTGACTACAGGCTTCCTACTATCTTTTAAAATGACTAGGGGCTGGATATCTTATGGGCTTCAGTACTGAAGGGTTTACTCCAAATCTCCTCTTCACCGACTTACAGGTCACCACCATGGAATAAGTAATGTTTTCCAGTGTGCTCTTCCCAGCACTCCAGATGTATATGTTGGTCGTTAACCTAGAAAACATCTGCTTCACAGCCCGTCTCACTGACATAATTTTTGCTTCCAGTGGCTCGGATGAGTTAGAACAGCGTCTGACAGTTGGTAGCTATAGTTGTATGTATGGGAATGGTAGTGTATACAGATTCGGTCTGCTTACCCGTGAATTCATAAAACAGAAAAAAAAATCTCCGAAATAGTGTTTTGGAAAATACACTGAAATAATCGATGAGCCCACTTGAACATATCTGAATACTTCTTCATTGTGGAAAGTAAAAGCTGAGAACGTTTAAGAGTAGTTGTCTTGCGTTTCAATTTAGGCTTTTTTAGGTACGCATGATATGTTTGAAGTTGGGGTAAAAACTTGATGAATCTCACAAATAGATTAATAACCCCCATTCGTCTACAGCTTAAAATTATGCAATAAAGTATTTGATTCCTAGTGTACTAAGTGAAGTACATTTTATTTCTATTTATTTCTATGCTTCATTCAACAAATTGATCCCAGTCTCAATAACTTTACTTTTCAGCAAACATTTGTAAATGTCAAAAGTTGGCTTCAGGAAATCACCTGTTATGCAAACTCCAAAGTTAATCGTCTTTTGGTTGGAAACAAACATGATTTGGCGAGTCGGCGAGCTGTTGACAAATCGGTTGCAGAGGTTTGTTAAAACATCTTTTTATTTTATGAAGTTGTATCACTATTCGTCAAAGAGAACGAGAAATGTATTCATGTAAAAACATGAGCTGTTGAAGTAGTGTTTCTTAGTAGTGAGTTCTTCGGTATCTGGTACTGGTAAAATAACGTTGACATTCGGCTATTTAACGGTAAATCTGCAGAAGCGGGAATACTTTTCACGAGAGTTGAGGATTCGAATTTGTTAGTTTGTAGAGAAAAAGCATAGCATAGCAAAGGAAATAAAAATAGGTTAGTTGGCTAATCACCATACACCAAGGCAGAAATCGTAAATGATGGTATATATTAAAGGAAAAACTTATATGATGACTTCGTCTGTGGTCTGTTTTCATTTCCTTTACTACACTTAAAAACCGACATAGCCCAACTCGTTTTTAGTAGAATTTCAATTACTTTGAAGAACGGTTTTAGGTTCCTTAAGATTATTTGGTTGATTTTCGCAATTCGGTATTTTTGTTGATAATTAGTTTGATTGTTTCGGTTTCAAGTTTATCCTTTCATAACTTCCAAGTTTTGTATTTGTGAGGTGTCGTTTTTTGGTTTTCGATTGTTTGAGGTGATTAGTCTGCGAACTAATAATTCATTCCAAGTAATCAATCTACGGCGCTAGCCTTTACCTCCTTGTTGGCTATAATTGAAGGGGAATGCATAAAAGAGAGATATTTAGATTGAGTTCTTTCGTGTGATGATATAAATAAATAGTATCCGAGTGTTAACACTTTTCAGCAATATGATGGTAGTTGACAGTGGTTCCACTGCGTAGAGAATAACGTTGCGTTACAGTGCTGATAATGTCTAACATGGAAACTAAGACGTTTTTCAATCGAATTTGGGTTCAGGAAAATACACCCTGGACGTCAATTCCGTCAAAGGTGTAGTACATACCACTGATCGATATAAGTACTTGGGAACCACTGACACCGACTAGTAGTGTCTAAACTGAAATATACTCAGTAAATCTCTTTCATCGTGTACCTGGCTAAAAACCACATGTGTTTTGTCTAAGAGTTGATGATACCACCCACCTGCCCAAACTAAATTAACGGGGGTGGAACTCGAGCCCGAAACCTACTGTCTGGAAAGCCAGTATGTAAGTTAATGAGTCATATACCCACGCCAGTAGTGCCTGCTAGACATACCAAGTGATCTAGACTCTGGTTGACTGCTTCTGTCGTTGTGGGTCTGGCTCAGCTCAGCTGAGTCGAATCATTTCAAACCACCCAAACTTTGACTTAATATTTGGGTGAGCTGGTAATACATGGTGTCAAATGTGTTACTTGTGAATAACACATATCGAGGAGAAAATTCACCATGATTCTTAAAAACCAAAAATATTCAGATTACTCTGTGTTGCCTTAAATATTATACAGTTTCCAGAGGTTTATATCGCCTCGATCATGACGGAAAGCACTACCACTTACATCAATCAATATGTCATCTTATATTGTTTTCTCGATTGTCATTCATGTAGTCTATTTGATCGCATATTGTGACAAGAAGAATTTTAGGTTTCTAGAGGAAATTAAACTGAATTTTCAATTCGAAATGCTTAATTTCTAAATGATAAATTAGTTTTTTCGTCAACTTCCTAGTCTACAAATACTGTATATCATCTCAAATCTATTGTGTCAAGGCAACCCTAGGATTGGACAGGTGGTCAAATTCAGTTTTTACCTTGATACCTTTACAGTCGAAGATCATTGCATTTTCCGTTTCCCTCACAACCATAGGTGCATTTTTAAGAGTTTGTTAATTAACAATTATTTAGATGGAGCTTGGGCTTCATCACTGGTAATCATGTCATTTCTACACTAGTTCACAAAATGACGTGACCAAGTTAAAGTCAAATTTTCATAATATATTACTGATCTTAACTTTAACAAATCTCTCGCTGTATTTTTGATTGAAGAATTAAGTTATTCATGGTATCAGATGCTATTGGAATGTCATTTGTGGAGCTTCAGCTTAGTTGTTTTTATATTTAAGTTGACAGCTGTGGATCTGTGATCTGAACCTTATTTGCGTTGGCTTGGTTTTAAACAGCTAACAGATATTGTTTGAAGGATTTCATCATGACCTGACATCAGTTAAAGAACCACTAGAAAACATGGGAGTACTGGACAACTCTTTCGTCTTAGTTTTGGACTCTTCATCAGTACGCATCTACCGGGGTTCAAACCCATTGGGTCAGGTCCCAGTGGCTCGCTAGCCTTGTAACCAGAAGGTCCTGGGCTCGACCCCTGGCGGTGGGTGCGAACTTCTAAAGAGTCTGAAGAAGGGCGAAACATCTGTCCAGTACACCCAGGTTTTCTAATAGTTTTCTAACTGATGTCAGCTCATGATGAAATCCTCCATGCAATTAAACAAAATTCCCACAAAACCAATACCTCAAGATATTGGTATCTCATAGAAATTTGATAGATAGAACAAGGGTAATGGTACAGCATCATTCATAGACTTACGCATCTTTTTTTGTTCTGTAAAATATGTTATGCTCGAATTTCACATTGTTCGCAGCCTACACGAAGCTGTGCTTGATTGTTGGTTCAGCTACCTTATTCATTTTAATTCTCTTGTTTTCGTTTTATCATTAAACTGTGTGAACACAACACATCAGATAATTTTATAGGGCGCTGCATACTTAGACACAATGTTGTGAAGACTGTCAGTGTTCTATTTAACTCTTCTGTCTGAAAATTCCTATTTCATGTAAGTAAGAACACATGAGTCAACAAAGAGATCACCTTTCTTTGTAACTTCACTTCAAAGCTACTGGCTTTTTATCAGAAATCAGTCAGTGATCCAAGGAAAACGGTCTTACCTTAAACCCCTCCAAATGCCTAACAGTCAATTTCACCTTCAGACATAAATCTGACCTAAATAAACTGGTTAGCACTGACGTGGTGTGCAACATAGATGACACTGAAATAGAAACCAAGTCGGATATTAAATATCTTGGCATCATTCTGTTTGCTGATCTTTCCTGGTCGTCTCATATCTTGATGATTTCTAAGAAAATATTTCGTCTTATCTTCTACATCAAGAAGTTAAGACATTCTGGAATAACCCAACCCTTACTCCTACGATTCGTTAACCCTCGCATTCTGCCTATTATTCTCTACTGTTCCCCCATAGTTTTTCCAGGACTACTGAAGAAAGACTATATCTTATTACGTAGGGTGTTAAAAATTGTCAGCAGGGTAAACAAAGTGCCACTTAACCAGCTTGTTAATATTCTGGTTGACAGACACACGGAAAAAAAATCCATTTTACCTAACTCACACCACCCTCTTCATTCACAACTCTCCCCTTGTATCTATCTCATCAGGCAAAACCAGAAGCCTACATAGAAAACTATATGCTCGCACTAGCAAGTACAAAAACTCAACCATACCCTACTTAACTCGTGTTCTGTGCGAAAAAGAAAGCATTAGGCGTGATACCTATAACTTATTAAATAGTCAGTAGAACAACTGGATCTCGTCTTTCCAACTCATATCATTTATAGGTACAACGTTTTCTTTCTCTCTTTTCCTTTTCTCTCTCTCTCGTTTTTTTTCTCTGTTATGTGCTGCTTTGTTTCTTCTGCCTACACCAGTAAATATGCTACCATCTACTTTTGTAACACCTTCAAACACTCTGTTCAATTTTGGCTTTGCTACCGACATGTCAATATGTTGTTGTCATAATGAACTGAGATTACCCTTAATCTATGTAGGATTTTACTTATTGTTGTATTCAATATTGTAGTAAAATGCTGAGAATTCCATTCTGTATCACAACTACTGTTTTGGAATAAAGCAAATTATTATTATTATTATTATTATTTAGTGGGTTTGGCAGCAGAGGCCAAACGTTATTATCATTTAGTAATAAGGTGAACCAAAGTGCACGCGTAATAACTGTTTGAAAAACAATTGAGAGAAATGGTCTTACGTAATCAGCAGAGTTGACAGTTAATAAGTTGAGTGGTGAATAATTGTCTAGAAATAGCTGATAGGGGACAAGAAAACAGAAACTGAAAATTAGTTACGAAAGCACATTATGAACTACATAGAGTCTGGGTAAAAGATTTCTGAACACAAAGTTCTGATTTCTCCTTGAGGATTGCTAAGGTTTTGACTGCAAGAAGAAGGTGTAAGCAAAATCCTCTCGAACGACTGGGCCGTACTTTACATGTAAACGACTGTTCTTTACGATCATACCAAATTTTGAACTTATAGGCAGTTGAAATTATCAATGATGTACATACACATACGTCTTGTATTTTTTCAATTCATCGTTATCTCGGTTCTTGCGGAGTAAAAAGAAAATAGAGAATTTGTTTGCTTGGAATGCATATCTTTTCTCCAATTCTTAGTATAAGTTGTCAGTTTTTGTAAAAATCTTATCAGTCAGTATTTTGATCGAATCGTATCTCAGTAGCCAATTAGATAGAAATCGTAATAACATTGTGTAAGGCGAGGCATCTGCTTTCCGTTTTATCTCACTTCGAATTGTGGCTATAGTTTCTTGGGCATAAGGTCAAATATTGTATATCATTGCTTAGCATATATGATGTAAATTTTCTCGTAAAAAGGTTTGATTTTGTTTTAATGAAAATATTCATAAAATTAATAACGTTTCTTCCTCTGCCTTCTTTCTCCTCAGGAGTTCGCGAAGGAAAATAACATGCCTTTCTTAGAAACCAGCGCCAAAGATGCTACTAACGTTGAAGATGCATTCATGGAAATGGCTAGACAGATCAAAGCAAGTGCTACACCAATGCAAAATATGTTATCTTCCACTGTACCAGTTAATAGTACACAACCTATTAAGAAAAGTTCAGGATGTTGTTAATTTCTATTTCGTATAATATAATCTTGAATTTATTCGTCGGTTTATTTTCATGTGATGATTGTGCGCTTATCATCCTCTTTTCTCTCTCTCTCTCCCTTTGTCCCTCTCATGTATCTCTTTACACTATTTCATTACTGAACTTGTGATAATATTTTGTATCTGAAATTCACAGCACTGTTTATCTTATAGGATTGTATTTGTATTCAGGTGCTATAATACTACTACTACTAATAATAATAACGATAACAATAATAATAATACTAATCAATAACATGCAGTGCGTTCCAACCGTATTTTGTTGATGTATTTTATTAGTTTCATTTTTTTCCGGGGGGAGTAATTTATTTCCGCCAATCCATTATCTCTTTATCATCTGAAGTCCGATTTTTAACACCAACATTACACGAGACTGACTGACTGACTGCACCAGTATTTTCTCCTTTCTCTCTTTGTGGAATTCACACACACACACACACCTTTTAAAAGCTCTTGTTTTCGTTGAGACACAAAAAATTGATCTATGTACCATATCTGTTTGTTCAATCCCCTTCAATGGCACTAATAAAATATTTGATCTTGTTTTAGGTATTTTTAATAATCATCATAAGAGGTGCAAAAAAGGCCCTTTTCTAATCATCGTTCATAGATTAAGGTATGCTGGTGAAGCTTGAATATATATTGATGATTGCCTGCATTCTTGTGTGCAAGTGTTGTTTTTTCATAAATATATGTATATATATAATGAAAATTAAGGTCGTGAGTGGTGGTTTGTCTTCATGTATTCGTATAACGAGATGTCTGTGAGTGTAGCTGTGAAAAAAGAAGTATGACTTGCTACAATATCTTCAGTCGCTGTTTGTGAGTCGGTCATCAGACAGACGACTTGCGAGTTAGTGAATGAGTAGAGTCTTGTCTGATGTAATGTCTGACAAATTTACTAACACAGGTACTCATCTTCCATAAAGGTCACTTGATCTGATTAGAAAGTTATTTCTTAACAGGTGGTGATTAGCTGTTGCTGTCGAAGAGTTTGAAGTACTCCTAAAAAATGTTCTCTACAAACGATGAGCACAGCCTACTTCATCTTCTTTGTAGCACTGAGAACGTGTAACCGAACTCCAGGTGGATATCCTTTTCACGATGGTTTTACTCTCCTACGTAGTTAATAATAATAATTACTGCTAATTCGTTTTTTACCATTATCTAAGAATAGCATACTCAGGATGTTAGCTCCTTTCGGTGCAAACCGAAAAATACACCTCATTGACTAGGACTACATTTTATTTGTTTGTCTGTTTGGTGTAAACTTAAAATACGCATGAACAGAATCCAACTGTGTTTATTCACTCCAGTTTATATAATAAGCGTTTCTGGAAACTTAGTTTTCTTGAATCCAATATTTGTTGTTGTGTCATCTGTCGAAGATTGAGATTCACCGTAGAACTTTGCAGAGAAGTACAACAGTTCACCTTGCCCCACACTCCATGCAACACATAAACGTCAGTGAAGGATTCAAAAGAACGTCAATGGACGAAATACACGAGAAGAATAATTTCATGGAGAGAAATGAGGAATTTGTGGATCTAGATTGTAAGAGCTATAAGCACTGTACTTGATTAAATGTCAATTGATGTTCACCTAGATACCTACCCTATTAACTGATACCATCAGGACTAGAGAAATTCACAGCTCTTTAGTATATTATTTTTCACCGGTGAAGTGTAAAATACTGTTACAAACCCGTGTATACATTCACCTTCACAGATAGGTGGTAAACAACATTTCAAAATCACTAAATTCGTGTGCGTTTTGGTAGAGGGATGTGTTTGAGTTAGATTTCTATTTGCCTCATCGTGTATGTATGTCGGCAGGGCACAACTTACCGGGTGGGATTTTTTCCTCGATGATATCATGCGACTCAGTGGCCTGAGACATTTATCCAACATAGTTTAGGTTCGTATTCGATGGACATCCTATTTTATACCTCTTGTAATGAATGTCCTTCTGATTATGCTTCACAGTGTGCTCATTTGTTTTCATTGTGCTGTCTCTGAACTACTCTGTCATTATTGTTTACGCATTTCTTGGTCGATATGCTACACCAAGTTAATATTTTAGTAGGAATAACCGAAAGGCTGTGCTAAGTGTAGAAGAAGATTGATTAGTACTTTCCCAGTTGAAGTGCTTCATGCAACTGTACTTAAGCAATGATCTGTTCTTTTATTGATTTATAATGACCAACATTCCCCGCATAGCTAAATCATCTTGTGTCCCTAAAATTTGAAACTATCGGAGTGTTGTTCATTACTCTGCTTGTCATTGGTGTAGGTTATTTATAATTAGTTAGTGATCAATGGGTTCACTTCCAACGTAAATCATCTGGTCAGATGGAGTTATAAGTGTGTTAATTACGACTAAGCGAGGGCTACTTATACCATTTAATCACAGTTGTTGTTCTTCTAAGTCGGTGGCACAGCGATAGGAATGCTCGCCAACTGCTCATGTCGTTCAGGGTTTGGGCCCCAGTCGACGTACTCCTTTACACCTCGCTAAGCCGGTAATAAGACTGGTAAAGAGGGGAGGTTGGGCATGAGGCTGGCTAGCAACCCCATCCCGTGGAAAAGTAAACACAGCTGCTACCGAAGCTTCAAGCCTCTAACTTGAAGTCCTATGTTCCACCAGGAAGGAACGTGAAGTAATAAAATAAATAGGTTATTCTTTTTGAGGTCAGCTAGTGTGGATGCAGGTTGTGTGTGTGCTTGAAACTATTCAGACAAGAAGTTATCTTACAAAGGTTTAAATTTTGAAGTTTGTAACGCGCGAGAATGCGTACCTTGAAATAGCTTTTCTCAAATATGCGGATGGTGTTCGTTCGCGTCTTTTACGTTTTGCTCATCACATTTCCGCCTACTCAGTTACCAACATGAATTTTGTTTTTGGAGCCAAAAATTTAAACTTATTGGTTAGTTTTGGACTTTAGTGTGAGCATGGTATCTCTAGTCTGGTGACAAATTTCACATGCCGAATAGCTAATGCTTCAGCTTTGTACAGATGGCTTATCCGAAGTCCCTTTGTACGATATTGAGGGACTCTGTGTAACACTGTGAAGCATTCATGTGGGGGTGCTCGATGTCCGGAGATGACATGGTGTTCGAGGATCGAGCTGGTGCTATTCTTCTTTTCTCCTCTGGCTGGCTAACCAAGCTGGACAGTGTTCCAGAATACGTTTGTGGACTTGACGTTGCGTACAGCCAATATACTTTGCTTCACACGAGCAAGTAAATTCATAAATATACATTGAAGTGGCCAAAAGCGATATCTTGTCCTTAGTGTTAGACTGGATTAACTGTCTGCCAGAAAATGTGATACGTAGAGTGGCTGTTGGAAATGTCTTCTTCACAGATGCAGTTGATCGAATTCGTGATTTACAAATTACAAAGTTTTGAGCAGGTGAAATCCCACCACAGTTTTCTTTGAAAAAATCGAAAATATTTAAATCACTATATATATATGATTCACTTAGTATTATATAATTGACAGTCAAGCATAAGTGAGTGTTGCTATATATACTACTGGTTGGTTGGTATGAGTAGTAGTGAGATACCGGCTCGTCTAGAGCCGATCATTTTGATCTGGCACATACTACTGGTGGGTGTAATTCAGCAGTTTATGTAGCATCATGAATTGTCTTGTTGTCGGTTTGTATTCCAAGTAAAAAGCTATTGAAAGCGCTATTTCACTTTTGAATACATAAGTGGTCACAGTGTTTTTTATCTACATAGTAGGAAAGCGGATACTGAATTTTATATTTGTCTTCATTACCTATGCAAATTGTATATCTGCAATATAATTTATATTTTGTATTTTGAATTCATTTTCAAATACAAATAGTAGTGATTATTTTTTATTAAGATTGGATGTGTCATTTTAAAAGTTCACTGTTTAGTTTAAAACTTTGGTGATTTTCGTTCACTGATGAAAGCTTCACAAACTAACCATCCAGCTCAGAGAACAAAACCACATCAAAATCATCCACCTGAGCTACAAATCTTTTCGTTCACTGTACTAGTTGAACTATTTATGTTAATAACTATAGTCGATTTGTACGTTGTGAGATTCCTTCAGCAGAAGACTTTGATTCGGATCACCGTCTCGTATTCAATCGTAGTATGTTCGACAAAAACACACACTTGAACAATAACTCCAGCGTATATCTCGTTTTATATTGCATTATTATTGTTGCCTTTAGTTCTTAGAGGAACACGCACGTCTTCAATGCGTTCGATTCTCCGACGTTTTCACCTGGCCCCACGTCTGCCCACATCCTTTCATCTCCTCTTCACATGACCTCCTCCATGTCACTCTACCACCGACGAACAACTCGCCGCTTCCCGTTCGGATTCCACTCGAGTGATGGCCTGCCGTGTGATGTGAATTGATGGTTTGTTTTCTCAGATTATGGCCAATCCAATCCACCTCCATTTCTTCCTGCGTGTTTGTTGCACAATCTGTTTCTGCTGCATTAGTTGGTTCGTTCCCAGAGATCGCTCCCTGTTGCTGATCTTTTCTGACCGGCCATCTGATCTTGAGTAGTATTGAGCGAAGACAGCTGCTGATGAAGGTGTGTAGTTTGTTCGAAGGGGCCTTCGTGAGGCGGTGCGGTGCCAATTCTCTGATCCGTATAGTAGCAATGACTTTGTATTGCCTTACCTATATCTAATTCAAAATTGAATCTCATAACAATCCTTTTTTATTAGTTGATCGCATATAAATGAAGCGAGTGTTAAAACAACATTGATAATTCTGATTTGGTTGGATTCTTTGAACTGGTTGATTTAATTGCAAAGCTTTGATTGTCTTTGTAGACAAAAATGATTTAATATAAAGTCAACTTTTGTTTGAATTGGTTACAGGATTTCATCATGAGCTGACATTGGTAAGACAACCATTGGAAAACCCGGGAGTACTGGACAACTGTTTCGTCCTAGTTTGGGACTCCT